TCCGCCTGAGGGGACTACCACTGGTGGGCAGGAGCAGCAGCCCCAGCCGCAGCAGGAGCAGCCCCAGCAGCAGCCGCCATCCCAGCAGCAGCCACCGCAGCCGTGGGCCCGTCTCGCGCCTGGTTGGCCCAGCACCTCCGTAGGTGGTGGCCGTGGTGGCGGCCCGCACAGCTTGGCGTCTACCGGCGGCTCCGGTGCTGTGACCTGCCAGTACCAGCTTCAGACCGGGCCTCTCCGCGGCACTCTGTGCCGCCGCCCGCACCCGACCGCCCGCTGTTTCCGCCGCCTCGACAATCTCTTTTGTCGTCGCTTTGGCCCGGCCCCGGACCTCCCCGACTGGCACAGCCTGCTCCGCCAGGGCGTGCCGATCTTTGAGTTAGACATGGATCAGATAGGTGCTGCTTTGCATGCTTTGTATTATGACGCTTCTAGTGTTGCTGGATCTTATTACCATGTGTACTCTAGCTTTGGTATAGCATCATTGTGTAGCTTAGCCTCCCCTGCTGCGTCAGGCGTAGGACTGCCTAGTTTGCCTAGCCTAGTCTCTACACCGGCTCCGTTCCCGGCCTCCGCCGATGCTTCGCTGTCCTTCACTCTCGACTCCGGTGCCTCTGCCTGCTTCTTTCGCGACCGCTCCGCGCTCACACCGCTTGCTACGCCTGCTGTTGTCTCTTTCGCTGACCCGTCTGCGGGTCATGTCATCGCTCGCAGTTCTACGTCCCTTCCCTGTCGAGCAGTTCCCTCGGGCTCCCTTACAGGTCTCCACGTTCCCTCGTTCTCGAGGAACCTGGTTGGTGTCGGCTGTCTCCAGGACCTCGGCGTCATTACCACGCTCCCCGGGCACGAGCGGTTTGCTGTCTGCTCTGAGTCTGTCTCAGGTTCCATTCTTGCGACGTTCCCCCGGGACCCGGTGTTCGGTCTGTTCACCCTAGACACCGCTTCCCCCGCAGTTGGTGCGTCCTCCCAGGTCGCTGCAGCTTGCTCGTGTCGGTCCCTCACTCACCCATCCCTTCTCAAGCACCACCGCCTAGGTCACCCTGCACTCCCACGTCTGCGTCACATGTCCCAGCACGGTCTTGTCTTAGGTCTCCCTGCGTCGCTCCCTGCCCTTCCTCCCTCGACTGCGCCACGGTGCACGCCTTGCGTCGAGGGCCGGCTCCGCCACTCCCCTCACTCCTCCTCGCTGCGCCCTGCTACTGCCCCCCTTCAGACCCTGCACTTGGACGTTTGGGGCCCTGCCCCCGTCCCCGGACCGCGAGGTGAGCGCAACTTCCTTGTGCTCGTCGACGACTATACGCGCTACACCACGGTGTTTCCCCTGGAGCGGAAGGCCGACGTGCCCGACGTTCTTCTCCCGTGGGTCGTAGCTGCCCGTCTTCACCGCGGTCTCCCCGTGTTGTGTCTCCACTCTGACCGTGGCGGCGAGTTCGCCTCTAGTCGGCTTGGACAGTTCTGTCGTGCAGAGGGCGTCACCCAGTCGTACACCTTGCCGGACTCGCCGCAGCAGAATGGGGTTGCTGAGCGCCGCATCGGCTTGGTCATGGAGGTCGCTCGTACCTCCATGATTCATGCCGATGCCCCCCATTTTCTGTGGCCGTTCGATGTTCTCTACGCTGCTCGCAAAGTTAACCTGTGGCCATGCTCCCAGCGGCCGCAGGTTTCGCCGACCCTCCTTTGGACTGGGTCCCTCGGTGACGCGTCTGCGTTCCACGTCTGGGGCTGCCTTGCTCACGTTCGTGCCTCTGGCACGGACAAGCTCACTGCCCGCACTGTCCCTTGTGTCTTCCTCGACTTCCCCCTGGACTCGTCTGACTGGCTTTTCTACACCCGGACCGCGCGCCGGTGTCCCCCCCACCGGCGGCTGACCTTCCTGTCTACAGTCCTGTGTTCCCGCCGCCGGACTCGTCTCCGGCCCGCCTTCCTCCTCGTTCCCCTCCTGTGTCCCCTCCGTTGTCCCCTGACCCTACACCTCCGTCTCACGTTTGGTCTCGCCGTCCCTCCCGTGCTCGTCCCGTCTCTCCTGTCCTTCCCACCCACCCTATGTTGCTCCGTTCCTGCTTTTCTCGTCCTCCCCTCCTCCCTCGTCCCTTGCTGTTGCACCTTCTCCGTTCTCTGACTACCTCCGTGCCGCTCGTCCCCTTGTCCCTCGGGTCCTTGCCTCTCTTGTTACCGACCCTGCTGTTCCTGTCTCGCGCCTTGACGCGCATGTCGCTGCTGTCACTGACTTTGCCTCTACCCGCCGCCTTGACTACGCTACCGCTCTGGTCTCTGACCCTGCCCGTCCTCCGTCCGTCGGGGGTGCTCCTGCCCTTGGCAGTGACGTCCTAGAGGACAGGCAGTACGAGCTTGCTTTTCTCTCTGAGGCTGCTCCCCATCTCTGCTCCACGATGTTAGTCCCTGAGGGTGACCCAGACGCCTTCGACATCCCGACCCCTCGCACCTACGCTAAGGCCACCTCGGGACCTTGGGCCTCTCAATGGATAGCTGCCATGGAGAAGGAGATGGCATCTTGGAGGTCCATCGGCACTTACGTCGACGCAGTTCCCCCGCCTGGGGTGAACGTAGTCGATGGTCGGTGGCTCTTCAAGGTGAAGCGCCCCCCTGGAGAGCCGCCTGTCTTCAAGGCGCGCTACGTGGCCAGAGGCTTCAGTCAGCGCGAGGGGGTGGACTTCTTCCAGACCTTCGCCCCGACCCCGAAGATGACCACTCTTCGGGCGCAGCTACACGTAGCAGCACAGCGCGACTGCGAGCTTCACTCCCTCGACTTCTCCACTGCCTTTCTTCAGGGCAGCCTACACGAGCAGGTCTACCTGCGCCGACCACAGGGCTTCACTGGTACCTTCCCCCCTGGGACTCAGTGGCTTCTCAGGCGCCTGGTCTACGGCCTGCGTCAGGCTCCTCGCGAGTGGCACGACACGCTGCGGGCCACGTTAGCAAACCTGCAGTTCTTTCCGTCCTCTGCTGACCCCTCGTTGTTTGTGCGTTCCAGCCAGACTTCGTTCTACATCCTTGTCTACGTAGACGACCTGGTCTTTACTACTGCTGACAGGGACGCACTGGCCTCTGTGAAGGCCGATCTGCTGAAGAGACACACCTGCACTGACCTTGGAGAGCTGCGTCGCTATCTTGGCCTGCAGATCTCTAAGGACAGAGCAGCACGCACCATCACTCTGACACAGTCATACTTGGTGCGTCAGGTCCTTCAGAGGTTCAGCCTTCAGTTCTCCTCCGCACAGCCCACACCTCTACCTGTAGACCATGGGCTCTCCGCTCCCGTTCCTGAGGAGCCCGTAGAGCCCAGTGGCCCCTACTCAGAGCTGGTGGGTTGCCTCATGTACCTGATGACTTGCACCCGCCCAGATCTCGCATACCCTCTCAGCATCCTGGCTCGCTTTGTGGCTACAGGCAGACACCGACCTCAGCACTGGTCTGCCGCTAAGAGGGTTTTGCGTTATCTTGCTAGTACATCGGGCATGGGGTTAGTGTTAGGAGGACGCAGGCCAGTGGTCCTTACTGGGCACACAGACGCTTCTTGGGCAGACGACTCTGAGACGCTCAGGTCGTCGCAGGGCTACTGCTTTAGCCTTGGTTCTGGTGTTATCTCTTGGAGATCCACGCGCTCGTCGTCTGTGGCTTAGTCCAGCTGTGAGGCTAAGATCTACGCTGGTGCCATGGCGGCAAAGGAGCTCCGCTGGCTGACCTTCTTGCTCACAGACTTAGGTGAGCGGCCTAGCTCTGCCCCGGTCCTGTACGCTGACAACAGGACCATGATACTCCTGTGTCAGGAGCCTCGGCTTGAGGGCAGAGCAAAGCATATCCAGCTGCGGTACTTCCTCCTGCGCGAGCTACAGCACCGCCGCCAGGCCCGCATACCGTAAAAGCCCGGATAGAAGACCCCCTAGTAATAGAAGACCCAGGGTCTTATACGAGGCGTCTATCTTGTATTTGGGCTTCCCGTTTATAAGACACCCCCTGGGCGGTATGAGATAAGACCCCCCCTCCCCCCTCCCTGTTTCTTCTTCTTGTTTACCATATTCCCCCGGATAAGCGCCCTTATGAACGTTTAGGGGACTGGTTTGAAATTGTGTGTTGGGGGAGGGGGTGGGTATTCAAATAATTTATATTCTTCCATCCCATGGACGTTTATAACGTTTTTTATGCCAATACGGTCTTTTTTTATCATACCGTAGTGTAGTTTCTATGCTGTTTCATGTATTGGGAGAAATTTTGACGAAGATGTGCCGAAAGTCCTGTTGGCGATGTGCTAGGCTGGATGTTAGTGTTTCTGACGCGACTTGTGACAGGTTTTTCTGGCTCGTGACAAGTGTTTCTGACAGGTGTCCCTCGAATCTCTCCATGGTATTGAAATCACAGCTCGATAGACGGCTGGGATGGTCGCACTCCACACCCTCATTCCTCCCTTGCTGCCTCACTTGTGTGTCTGCCGTCATTATTGCCGCCAAAAAAATTGCCCCCTTTGTGACGCCTTCCCTATGAAAACGCTTGCCAGAAGTCTGGTGTAACTACTCTTGGTGTTTTCTTGTGCAGTTACGATGGTTCCGTTTATAAGACCCACTTCCACCTATTTTTTTCCCGTTTATAAGACCCTTTTGACTATTTCCAAACGGTATGTGATAAGACCCATGAGTCTTCTATCCGGGCTAACACGGTAGTTCACTTGGCCTCATGTGCCAACACAGCTGATATCTTTACTAAGGCGCTTGCGCCTAAAGATCATCAGCGGCACTGTGTACAGCTTGGTCTTGTTCCTGTAGCTACTCACCTGTTAGGATCCTGATTGTATACTCTCTATTATATATACCTGTCAGACTGGCCTTGTGGCCTTACCTCCAGTGGCTGGACTAGTAGTGCCGCCCTGGCTTGCTTTAGTCTTGTTTGTACCCTTGCTGACTGGTCTCCAGACCCCTGCCTCAGTGGTTGGACTAGTAGTGCCACCCTGAGCTGTTTGTTTCTTGCTTAGCTTCACCCCTTGTCTAGCCTAGGGGGTGTGTCAACTTATACATGTTAGTTGTGTACAAGTAATAGGCTAGACTGGGGTATGTTTTTAGTGAGTACAACCAACTAGTATTTGGTAACATATTTTACCCTGATATCCAGAGGTCAACACCCAATTGGGCCTCCTAGTTCCTCTGCCCCACGGGGCACTGCAGATGGAAGCTGTCGGGTTGGGGCATCTGGGCAGGCAACTTGCAAGCAGAGCAAACGGCCTATAGCACATCGGGTTCCAGTACGCGCTCCTCAGCCTAGTTCCTCTGCCCCACCAGGCACGGCATGTGGAAGCTGTCGGGACATCTGGCCGTGACGCAGTGGGCCAGGACAGCCCCGACCCAGGCATGTGGCAGGCGGAGCACACAAAGCCGCGCTGCTGCACAGGGGGAACGCCCGCGTCATAACACCCAATCGGCCTAGTTCCGCTGCCCCACAAGGCACTGCAGGTGGAAGCTATCAGGACACCTCGGCGTGACGCAGCGCCACGACAGCCCCGACCCCGGCACGTGGCAGGCGGAGCACACAAAGCCGCGCTGCTGCCGCAGCAGGCGCACGCGGTGGTGCGGGCGGCGCTGGTCCATGGCCTCCACCTGGCGGATGGCGTCCTCCAGCGCGGAGATCTCCGACAGGAGGGTCTCCGCTTGCTGTCTCAGCTGCTCGTTCACTGCTGACAGCTCCGCCTGGGGGATTGAGGGGGGGGGAGAGGGAGGGGGGAGGAGTGGGTGAATGGAGTGCACGACTGGATTGAGACTGCAGCACATGATTTCGACAGGGAGAAGGGAGGAACTGCTTCACAAGGAGATTGAGGATCCTTTCCACCTTGCCCGTTTCTACAGATTGGTAGCTGAGATTGAAAGTGACTGCAAAGGAGAGACACTTCGCTGAGTGCAACGAGGTAGATGCAGGTAATAAGGGAATGAAACATGTTAGATTCAACTGAGAGTGAAGGAAACAATAAGGTACACGTAGGGAGGGGAAGACATACAACGTTGGCAGATAAGGTGGCCTGAAGTGTCTGGTACTGGATGTGACCTGACTGGACCGAGCCTTGCAGCTGATGGGAGCAGGGTAGGGGGGATTGGAGAGAGGGAGAGAGAGGGAAGCAGGAAAACGCAGGCATGCTTCACTGAGAGACCTCTTGCAGTGAACCTCCAAGCAAGCACCTGTCCGCCACACCTACCCAGCCACCCAGCCACCCAGCCATCCAGCCACCCAGCCACCCAGCCACCCAGCCACCCGGTCACCCGGTCACCCGGCCACCCGGCCACCCGGCCACCCGGCCACCCGGCCACCCGGCCACCCGGCCACCCGGCCACCCGGCCACCCGGCCACCCGGCCACCCAGCCACCCAGCCACCCAGTGCATCCACCCACCTCCCTCTCTCTCGTCTTGAGCTGCACAACAATTCCCTCCAGCTCCCTCACTCGCTCCTCCGCCTCCTCCTTCTCCCTCTGCACGCCCTGTATCTCCGGCCCCGCTGCTGCTCGCAGCCCCTCCAAGTCCTTCTTCTCCCTCTCAAGCACTGCTATGTGCAGCCGCGCCCGCACCACCTCCTCCTCTTGCTGGTCGGATGGAAGGACGAACAGGGGGACAGGGGGTGGGGGGGTTAAGGGAAGAGAGGTGTGCTTTTAGATAGGCTCTAGAACTCCCTCTCTTCCACGGCTATGTGCAGCCGTGCCCGCACCACCTCCTCTTGCTGGTGAAATCGGAAGTGGGGGGGACGTGGGGGGACGTGGGGAGGTGTAGGAAGTGTGCTTTGAGTCGATTCACAGCATCCCCTAAGGCGTCTCAAGCTCCCTCTCAAGCACTGCTATGTCGCCCGCACCACCTCCTCTTGCGGGTGGGGGTGGGGGAGAAGAGGGGGGTGGGGGGAGAGAGGCGGGGGGAAGGGATGTGGGGGAAGGGAGGTGGGAGGATGCGGTGAATGTGCTTTTGAATCGGCTCTGGTTCTCTCTCAAGCACTGCTATGTGCAGCCACGTCCGCAACACCTCCTCCTCTTGCTGGTGGGATGTGCGGGGGGGGGGGAGAATGGGAATGAGGGGATGTAGTAAAAATTGGGGGAGGGAGGTGAGGGATGTAGTCGATGCAGGGTAAGGGAATGGTGTGGAAGACAAGGGAGGTGCGGGGGAGTGGGGGGGAAGGGGGTGGTTTACAGAGGGTGATAGAAGGGGAGGGATTAGGTCGGCCTGGACTCTGGCAGGTAGAATGATGCTCTTACATCCCCTCCTTCCCTACTCTCGCAACATCCTTTCATCCCCACGTGCTTCCCTCACCCACATCATACCCACTCTCCATCGCACTCAAAAATCCCCATGGTCCTCCCTCCCTCCCTCCCTCTTTCCCGCCCAGCCCTTCCCCCCACCAGTTCGCGCTTCTCTGTCTGCGTGCGCGCCACCTCCCGGGCATCCTCCAGCTGCCGCTCTGCTGCTGCCAGCCGCTCACTTGCCTCGTCCAGCTCACTGTCCTTGCGGTCCTGAGGGGGGGGAGGGAGGGAGGGGAGGACGGAGGGAGGGAGGGTTCGGAAACTGCAAGCGTGGTAGCGCAGAATTCAATGCACGGTGGCGAGCCAGCTTTTGAAAACAAAAAGAATCAACACAAAAAGGTTTCACTCTTTCAACAGGTGTACACACACACAGACATTCCCCTCACCAGTGCAGCCTGAAGCGAGTCAATCTGCTGCTGCAGCATGGCAGAGCCGCTAGATACAGCATGGTCCGTGGAGGCCTGCACGCATCACATGGTGCATGGACAAGAAGACGAACAGCAGAGTAGCTTAAGAGTCGACTAAAATCAAATGCAGCATGGCAGAGCCGCTGTTGGTCACAGGATGGTCCATGGAGGCCTGCACACATGCTTTTGACAACAGTACGGTCGAAAGGACCCACAGCAGAGCAGAGAGAAGAATAGGATGCACGGTGGTTGGGATGGACAATGAAGGGTGAGAGGCACACACATGCATGCATGCACACGCGCGCACACACACACACACACACACACACACATGCACACACACACATGCACACACATGCACACACATGCATGCACACGCATGCACGCACGCACATGCACACGCATGCACGCACACACATAGTGCACGCATCGGTAAAGTGTGGTTTTTCAGCTAAGGGATTGAGTTGGATGAATGCTTGGTCGCTGCAGCAAACGAGGTGATGGTGGGTGGGTGCTGCGGCAGGGGTAAGGAAGGAGGCAGATCAACAAGTTCAGCAGCAGCTCCATCATAAGCACTCCAAAGCCGGGGAGAGGGGTGGGGAAGAGATGGGCAGGGAGAAGTGGGTAGGGACAAGGTTAGGAGAGGATCGAGAGGGTAAAGAGAGTGAGGGGGACGCAAAACAAACTGAGAGAGATGTGCACAGGCGAGGAACGAGAACAGGAGGAGAGGGAGCAGTGGCCCAACGAGGGAGCTTTAGTGAGACGAGGGCAGGCAGTTGGGCAGTTGGGCAGTTGGGCAGCTGGACAGCTGGGCGGTTGAGCGGTCGGGCAGCCGGAAGGTCGGGTGGTCAGGCGGTCGGGGGATTGGGAGGTCAGGCGGTCGGGCGGTCGAGCGGTTGGGCCGGTGGGCAGGTGGCCAGTTGGCCAGCTATGTTGGAATAACCGTGGTTTGGGGTTTAACTGCTGGATTTGGGATTCGAAAGGCTGCGGAAAACTGCAGTTTTGGGCAGGAGAAAAAAACCTGGCAGGCTGAAAAAACGGGGGGGGTTTGGGGGGGAGAGCACCCTCCGTCGTCGCTAGAGGCGTTATTCAGAATGGGGGGCGTGGAGCCACTGCTGTTGCTGTTGGTGAGGTTTCTGGCCAAAACGTGACCTGTCCAGGCTGGGAAAAATGCGCGACCGATTGTGCTACGGGAGATAGAGACAGATCTCCGAACATAGCATAAGGTTTTCTCTTTCGAACAGAGGAGTTTGGAAGGGAACAGCACAGGGAGGGGATTTGCGTGGGTTCTCTGCGGTTGGGGGGTTAAAGTCGGTTCGAACGGAGGAGTTTGGAAGGCAAGGGGAAAGGGTGGGACTATGCCGGGGATGGGAGCGGTGGGGGGGTTAGAGTTGGTGGGGGGTTGGGCAATGGGCGAAAATTGCGCAACCCTTTGCGAATTCGTAATCCATGATTTTATTCCACGAATTTCTTTCCCGCGGGCTGCCCAAGCGGTTTCGACGGAAACCTGAAACCGCAATCGCAAACTGCAAGCCCCCCAGGCGCGGTTTTTCCAACGCAGCTGGCCGCCGCTGGCCACTGCTGGCCGCTGAAGGCGGCTGCAGGCCGGTGCGGGCTGCAGCTGGCCGCTGCTGGCCGACGCTGGCCACAGCTGGCCGTTGCTGGCCGCCACTGGCCGCAGCTGGCCACAGCTGGCCGCAGCTGGCCGCAGCTGGCCGCTGCTGGCGAACAACTAACCTTTCGCACTGTGTAAGCCCCCAGCCAACTACAAGCCTTTGCCTACCACCACTGTGCCAAATTCTGAAGGCGCATTGTCAATAGTCATAGCAAGCAGCAATGAGCATACTACGACTTGTGCATGCAGGTGTGCCTGCAAGTCTGCATGCACCACGTGTTGACTTCTGAGTCGACTCAAACGTGAGCTTAGGGCAATAAGCGTACCAGCACTTGTGCCTGCAGGTCTGCCTGCACTGTGGCCAGCTTGGTCTTGAGATAGTCACACATCTTCTCACTCTGCACACCACACAACGCAAGACAAGGCAAGGCACGGCAAGGCAAGGTCATCCCTCCACACGCTTAAATCCTCCCTCATCACCACTTCCCCACACCCCTCCCTTTCCCTCCGCTCCACCCATCCCCCTCAGCCTCAGCACTCCCCTCACGTCACAAAAATCCACATCCCCCTCCCCCTCCCCCCCCCTTCCCCTTCCTCACTACCCCCCTTTCCCCTTTTCCCTCCGCGCTCCCTTCCCCCTCCATTCCCCCCCCCCTCACCTCATGGAAGTCCGCCTCGGTGCGGCGGAGAGCCGCCTCTAGATTCTCCACGGCTGCTGCCTTCTCCTGCACCTGCTGCTGCAGGCTGGTCAGCATGGCGGCCGCTGCTGCAGCCTGATGTACGGGGCAATCGCAACCGGAATTGAAAGGGAAGAGACGGAAGGAGGAGACGGACGGGGGAAAGAACCAGCCAGAGAGAGAGACACACACAGACAGACACTGGTCAACAGCTGTTGCTGCTCTGAGCTGTGCCTTATCATGGCAATCGATCATGCTGATGCTTCGGTAATTCAGCCATGGCAGCGGAGGGTGTGATACTGCTGGGACCATGGTCAGAACCTGCTCCTGAGCCTAGCTGGAAGGTGTAGTACTGGCACTGGACGAGGGCAACAGGGGAAGAGCAAGAACCGACACTGTAAGAGCCCTGCTAAACCCTCAAACAGACCCAACTGCCTTTCGTGCAAATCGCGCACAACGTTGTTCCCCCCATGCAACAACACAACACAGCACAACACAACCAGCAATTCGGCTTTGAACCCTGTCCCCCCTGTGAACCTGTCCCCATCCCTGCCAACTTTCTCCCCCCCTCTCCCCCAACCCCCCCAACCCCCCACTCCTCCCTCTTCCTAGTCCCACCTGCTCCACTTCCTCTCTCCTCTCTTCCACCTCCTCCTGCAGCCGCCGCACCTCCTCCCCCTTTGCCTCCACTTCCCCTCTTAGCCCCTCCTCCCTCACTCTCCCTGTCTCCACCGCGTCCTCTGCTTCCATCAGTCTGCCCTTCACTCCCTCCAGCTCTCCTTGCAGCTGCGCCAGCTGCGCCCCCTGGCTCTGCAGCTGCAACACACGCTCGTTCGCTTCGTCCTGGGGGGGGGGACAAAGAGAGGGGGGGGGCATGGCATGTTTTGAGGTGCCTCCGACCGAACTGCTTCCCGCAGTCTGCCCCTCATTCCCTCCAGCTCCTCCTGCAGTTGCGCCAGCTCCTCCCTCTGGCTCTGCAGCTGCAGCACACGCTGATTGGCTTTGTCCTGCAGGGGGGGAGGGAGAGAGACGGGCAACAAGAGATGGGGAGAGAAGAAGGGGAGAACAAAGGGTAGAGGGGGTGGTGGGCGAGCCCAGGGAAGGGAAGACGGGAGAGGGAGGACAAAGAACGCAAGGGAGGACACAGAATCTCTCTATAGGGCTCCTTTTCCAGCAGCAGCGATGCCTACCTATTCCAGTCTCCTTCACTTGAACCACCATCCCCCTCAGGTTCTTCACACCACTATAGTGTGCCACAAGTGTGCAGATATTATACCTGTTCTCAACTTCCTTCTATGACCGCCACAACCACCTTCCGGACCTACCCTCCTCCCCTCCTCCCTTTTTCCACTCAATACATCCATCCATCACTCACCACTCACTTTGCGCTTGTCATGACCTTTCCCCTTCCCCTTCACATACCAGCTCCTGCCTCGCCCTTTGCCTTGCCTCCTCTGCCTCTTGAAGCAGCCCCTGCATGTCGGCAATGCTGCTCTGTGCCTGTGCCATGCATTCCAAGTCGTGCCATGCCATGTCAGGCGGAGCAGTAAGCACAGGAAGTAGTGAAGAAAGCTCAAGTCCTGACTTACAGTACAAGAAAAAAAGGTAAGATGGTTGGTCTGGCTGGGATGGTTGGTATGGTTGGGATAAGTGGGATGGTTGGGATAAGTGGGATGGTTGGGATAAGTGGGATGGTTGGGATGTTGGCAAGTGGTGGTGACAGGTGTGTAGAGCATGTGATGGGCCAACGATGCAGCGCAAACAGAAAACGAGAGGAACGAATGGAGAAGGAACACTTGTGCAAAGCAAGAGAGCTGTCAATCTCGCAAAGGGGAGCAGAGGAAAGGCAGGCAGCGTCAAGGGAAAGGCCAGGCCACCTCTTCTTGGGTGCGAGCCTTGAAGGCATCGGCATCTGCCACCATGCGCTCGAGGTTGCGCTTCAGCGACTCCACCTGCTTCTCACTCTGGCACGCAGCGAGGGAGGGCCAGAGGGCAAGACAGGGCGAGATAGGGCGGAGGGGAGAAGCATGGGAGTGTCAAGAAAGGGCAGAGGTACAGCACACGTGGCACAAAATGTGTAGAGGTGGCCAAGGGAGATGTGATGTGATGACGGAAGGGTGGCAATAATAGAAAGATTCAGTTGGCACGCATCAACCTGAAACCCTACAGGCTACAAACGTGAACTCAAAAGAACTCAAGATGATAAGAACTCAAACGTAAGGATCTCAACAGAAAACTCTAAAACGTCCTGGTTCCACGATTCTGACTCCAAAATTCTATACAAATTCCAGTCCAACGGATTCCCCATTCCGCCCAATTGCACTGCCAACTATGAAAAGCAATGGCGCACTCCCATCTTGGCCCATAGCCCAAGAGAGAAACAGCTGCTGCTTTCCCTCACCTCATCGCACCTATTCTCACCTCATCGCACCTCCTCTCACCTCATCGCACCTCCTCCCACCTCATCACGCCTCCTCTCACCTCATCACACCTCCTCTCACCTCATCGCACCTCCTCTCACCTCATCACGCCTCCTCTCACCTCATCACGCCTCCTCTCACCTCATCACGCCTCCTCTCACCTCATCACACCTACTCTCACCTCATCGCACCTCCTCTCACCTCATCGCACCTCCTCTCACCTCATCACGCCTCCTCCCACCTCATCACACCTCCTCCCACCTCATCGCACCTCCTCTCGCCTCATCCGCACCTCCTCTCACCTCATCACGCCTCCCCTCACCTCATCACACCTCATCACCTCTCCTCACCTCATCACCTCCCCTCACCTCATCGTAGCTCCTCTCCCACCGCTCAAACGACTCCTCGTTCTCCTGCAGCTGCCGCCTCTGCTGCTGCACCAGCTGCCGCAACCGCTGCACCTGATGGCCGCAGGCAATGGGGCGCGCACACAAGGACGGGATGCATGCAGGCGAGACAAGGCCACACGGGGGGGAAGTGGGATGTGATGTGCCAACTCGCCGCACGGAGGCAAGAGAGGGGTGGTGCGCAACTCGCCGAGCGGCAGTAACGAAAACGGGATTATTTACTTCACAGAGGTAGCGAGCTCAGTGAATAGCACTGTGCCCACAGGACGACAGGCAGTCATGCATGCAACTAAGAAGCAGCACTGCGCACGCAATGCAAGCAGCGCATATGCATGCTTGCACGCACGCAGACAGCGCCAAATGCCACAGGGCTCTGATGATCCTGGGTCCCAGTCACCCCCGCCTGCACTCACCTCATCATCATCAGCATCATCGCCATCTGCCCCCAGATCAACCTTCCCCTCTCCACCCTCCCCACTTCCCAATCCGCCCATCCCTCCTCCTGCAACACTACTCTCAGCAGCAGCAGCAGCAGCAGCAGCAGCAGCAGCCGCCCTGCCTCGCTCCTCCGCCTCGTTCAAGGCAGCTCTGCTGTCCTCCAGCTGCTGCTGCAGCTGCTGGCTCTGCTCTTCTAGCTCCTTAATCCTCTGCTGCTGCTCCTGCACCTTCCCTAGCAGGTCTAGAATTGCGCCCTCCTGCTCTTTCATGCGCTCCTCTTGGCTGGGTGTGCTTGCCTCTTTCTGCTCCTCATCCTGAAAATGCTGTTGGTGATGGCGATGGTGCGAGGGTGGAGGGGGGACGGAGGTAGGGAAGGACACGGGGGGAGGGGAGGCGGGCGAGGGGGGAGGAACTGTTTAGGGTGCGGGGATGTTAGATGTCACTGTGAGAAGCTTATTGCAGGAGTGGACGCCACGAAAATCAAACATGAAAGAAGCATACACAAGCGCTACAAAAAAGAAGACCGGGAAGACAAAGTGTAAAGTGAGAAACCATTTCCTCATACTGCCGCAATGACCAAGAAGGTAGACTTTAGCGACTTTGACTGCAGAAATTGTGGGCCAGTAGCAGTGGTAGTACTCCCCCCAACCACTGCCACATGCTGCCACATGCTGCCACGTGCTGCCACATGCTGCCACATGTACCACACTGACTGACTCTAAAGACCCAGCAACGCACTACTACCAGCCGGAACACACCTTGGCACACAAGTAATAACCGAACTGACCTCCTGGTCGAACTGCGATCCACTGAATCCTACCACCACCTCCCCGCTCTCCCCTCCTCTCCTGCTCCCGATGCTGCTACCCACACTCCCTCCCTTGAGCATCATGGCCTCTCTCGCCGCCAGCTGCCTCTCCTTCTCCTCTAGGTCTTTCTCCCACTCCACCACCTCCACCTCCCTCTCCTCCACGTCCCGCGCCCTCCCCTCGCTCTCCCGCACCCTCTCCTCCGCCTCCCTCACTCTCTCCTGCAGCTCCCTGCACCTCTCCTCCTCCTCTCTCAGCCGTTGCTCCAGCTCCACTAACTGCTGCTGCTGCTGATGTTGCTGCTCCATGTTTAAAGCCCTGGATTCTGAAGCTGCTCCTCCCTCTTCGACCTCCCCCCCATCGGTCAATACTGCACTATCACCACCAGCTAAGGATGACGTTTCGCTAGAATCGCCCTGAAGGATGGAGGCAGGGTAAAGAGTGGAGTCTGGTGAAGATTAGGAGGAAAAAGGGAGAGCAAGGGAGCAAGGAAAACCCCACCCTCCCTCCCCTCCCCTCCCCTCCCCTCCCCTCCCCTCCCTCTCCATCCACTACCAGCAGCCCAGCAGCCCAGCAGTCCAGCAGCCCAGCAGCCCAGCAGTCCAGCAGCCCAGCAGCTCACCCTCACCCCATATTTCTCACCGTGTGCCCCCGGGTGGCCCGCCTGAGCTCCTCCTCCATGTCGCGCATGTGCTGCAGCAGCTGCGCCTTCTCCTCCTCCAGCCGCTCGCCCTGCATGCGCGTCGCTGCTAGCTGCACCAGGGGAGGGGGGAGGTGAGGGGAAGACAGCAGGGTGGGTGGGAGACATCCGGTGGGGGGGTGGGGGGGGAGAGAGACAGGGGGGTTGCGGGAGAAACAGGGGGGGGGGGGTGGTTATCTTGAGGCGCGTCGAAACGGGACTGCTCCTCCAGGCTCCTGCGGCGCGCCTTGCATGCGCGTGTGTCGCTGCCAGCAGGTCCAGGTGGGGGAGACACAGAGGGGGGGAGGGGGAGAGATAGTGGGAGCATATCGTGAGGCGCCTCGAAACAGCACTGCTCCTCAAGCCGCTCGCCCTGCTTGTGCGTCGCTCTGCCTCCGTGCTTTCAATTTCCCCTCTCCCTTTTTCTCCTCCCCTCCCACTGTCATTCACAGTAAGTCTGAGTCTGGGCCGACTCACTCTCATTTGCATCGAGCCGTCCAAATACCCACCCCCCGTCCCCGTCCCCCCACCCCTCGATTCATTCTCCTCCCCTCTCCCCCTCTCTCTCCCCACCCCACTCACATCCGCAATGAGTCTAAGTCGTGGCACTTGGGAGACCCTGAGTTTGTCCAGCGTGCGCTGCAGGCGGCCCACCTGCCCCTCCATCTCCACCTTCTCTGCGCGCACCGCCCGCATCTGCATGTGCAGGCTCGCACGCTCCCTCTCCACACGCACCCTCGCCTCCTCCAGCAATGCATTGTCCTGCAGAGCCGCTGCCTGGGGAAGGGAAGGGGGGGAGGGGGGGAGGAGGTACACAACAAGGGAAACATGGAGAGCATGCGGCTTGTGAGTCGCCTCAAAAGGCATCTGCATGTGAGGGCTCGCACACTCCCTCTCCACGCGCACCGTCGCCTCCTCCAGTGCCGTGTTGTCCTGCGATGCTGCTGCCTGGGGAGGGAAAAACAGGGGAAGGGGGAAAAGGGGAAACGGGGAAAAAGGAGGTATGTGAGACGATGTACAGAATCGAGCAATGTTTGAGCACGCCTACCGTCATCCTCTGATAGTGCAGGTGGTGCTGACTCTGCACCGATGGTTGGTGCTCTCAGGCAACAGGATAGATTCTACTGGCTATGAAACAAGCTCTGGGCTGCGCTCTGAGGAGCGTCAGAAAAACCCATTGGTTGTCTGCTGAGGTGTCAAGAAAGACCAGAGCTCTGGTTTGTTGGTTATGCTACATCGGTGGTGCACCAGCACCCTATTCCTCCCTGCACTGTCCCTGACACCAGTGCTGCAAGCAAACCAGCATAACACAGAGTGAGACCTGCTGCGTCCACTCTTAAGATAGGCTCTGAACTCGCCTCACTTCTCCACGCTACGTTGCACAGAGGGCAGGCAGAGGGCAGCAGAGACCTGCTGACCTAGAGACACCGAGGAAATACACCAATTGTAGCAGAACAGCAGAGCAGCAGAACAGCAGAGCAGCAGAACAGCAGAGCACCATAGAAGCAGAGGCACCAGAAGCTGCAGAAGCAGCAGAGCAGCAGCAGCAGGAGGAGGAGATCTGGGAGTGGAAAGTGCTTACCAGGCGTTGCCTGGCACTGTCTGCAGCTGCGAGTGCCTCCAATAGCTTCTCCTCCACCTGCTCTGTGCCCTGCACACTGCTGCTGCTGCGCCGCCGCTCCTCCTCCTGGGTACAGAGGGGTGGGTGGGTGGGAGGGTGGCGAGAGGATTTTCCAGGCGCCCCATAGAGCATCGCTGCCCTGCCGCTATGCCTCCTGTGTGAACAGGGGCGGAGGGTGGCGGGAAAAATGTTTTTAGCGCCTAAAGAATCGCTTCCGCTCCTCCTTGTTGTGCGAGAAGGGACAGGCGGGGTGTGGTGAGAGGGAGGGCGAGCGCAGGAGGGGGAGGGGAACGGGAGAGGAGGGAAGGAGGGGAGAGGAGGGAGAGAAAGGCAGGATGGGGGTAATGGCTGGAGAGAGAGGGAAGGGAGAGAGAGGAAAGGAGAGAGGGAGGGTGGGTGGAGGGGGGTTAATGAGGGGCTACTGTGGACTCTCCGCTTGCCTGCTCACAGTTTGTGTATCACAGTAGTGCTTGTTTCTTCTGCGCTTGTTTTGCAACGGCAGGGCAGGGAGAAAGGAGCACGCCACCTGGGAGGCAGGGCAAGATGGCAGGCAGGCCTGGCAGGCGGCGGGCGGGAGGGCAGGCAGGCATGCAGGCGGGCGGGTGGGCGGGCGGGCAGGCAGGCGGGCGGGTGGGCGGGCGGGCAGGGCAGCAGAGGTGCAGGCACTGACCAGTTGCCTTCGCATTGTCTCGCACTCGAGATACAGCTGCCGGGACTCACTGTTGGCCTGCACACAGCACACATACACACACAGGGGGGAGGGGAAAGGATGGGATGGGAGCACACATATGAGAGAGGGGTTGCTGGATGGAGCATGAAGCTACTCTATAGGCGCCTCCAAAACACACTAACAGGGAATGGGAACACACACAAGAAAGTGGAGCTTCAACAACTGACCACAGGGGCTAGAGGGAGGCGCCATGCAATAATGGTATAGTTTTGAGACGTCTCAAAGCTGAACTATTATCACAAGAGGGGAAAAAAGTGGAGCTTCAACAACTGGCCACAGGGGCTAGAGGGAGGCACCATGCAAGCTCCCTTCCCCTACCTATCAAGCTTATACGGGAATGCAGGAATGGCCTGTTGTGTGAGGTCATAGATGATACTGAGGCGACTCAAAACGCACCACACAAGATTTACCCCCTTACCGGCCAAAACCATACGCGAATGGCCAATTGTCCAACTGTTCCAACTGTGATCTGCCCCGCATCCTTTGCCTCGTCCGCACAAACACTTTCCAGCCGGTAATGCGAGCGCACTGCACCCCTACCTATCACCACCACCAGCACAACGCGTGCGCACTGCCTAACCCCTGAAAGAAGGGACACACAGCACCCCCTCCTTTGCCCTCTCCCCTGCTGCCCCCAGCAACCCTGCAGTCGCCCGAGAGTCGGTTATAGTGTCAGGTCACTAACAGCCAATCCCTGCACAGCATACTGACGCCTACCTGCCATCTATCTACCCCCTGAAAGGAACGACTCACATCCTTGGCCCTCTCCTCTGCTGCCTCCAGCAGCCCCTGCAGTCGATGCACTGCAGCCATCCAAAGTCAGCTATATAGTCACCTTCACAGTTCAACTTCCCGCCACCTGCCACCCACCTACTGATGCCTACCTGCCATGCCATCTACCCACCCACCCACCCACCCATCTACCTACCTACCTAGCTGCCACCTCAGTTACTCACATCCTTGGCCCTCTCCTCTGCTGCCTCCAGCAGCCCCTGCAGTCGCTGCAGCTCCCGCACGTCGGAAGAGGACGAGGAGGAGAAACTCTCAGGCACGGAGCGAGAGCGACTGGCGGACTGTTGTAGGGAAGGGAGAGAGACAGGCGGGAGGGGGGGTGGGGGAAGAAGAGAGGAGAGAAAGTGGGGAGAAGGACAGAAGAGAGTGGGCCAGCCCGAGGGAATGGAAGGACGGGGAGGACATGCTTTCAAGCATGGGGTGAGGGCGACTGGCGGATTGGTGTGTTGTGTGCTTTGCTCATTGAAACGAAGGACCACTCAGGAGGGAGTGGGGCGAATAGAGTAGTAGGGTATGGGTGAAACAATGCTCAAAGGAATGCTTTGCTCACGGACTGCACAATGCGCTATTCAACTTCCATGTCTCATCTGCGTTTCATTTAGTTCTTACCTTGTGGCTTCCAACCTTCCCCCCAACCCTAGACACAATTTCCAATGGCCCCCTCCCACTCTCCTTCCCTTCTCCCGTGCCCCTGTGGATGTCCCTACATGGCTCACCTCGTTCTGGAGCTTGGTTAGCTGTCGCTCTGCCTGTAAATGCACAGCAACACGCATAGACAGAGGCGCACACGTCCCCCCCTCCCACCCCCGCACTCAGGCGTGCGCCGCGCACACGCACACACAAGCATGCGCGCACACCAACACAGACATACAGCACCGCACAGCGCATAGTGCTTGGATGCTCGAGCAAACATACATACATGCAAGAACTCAGACACACACACACACACACACACACACACACACACACACACACACACACACACACACACACACACACACACACACACACACACACATGCATGGACGTTACATGGAAACATGCATAACCACAAACCAAATCAAGACAAGCGGAAAAAGCGTTGAAGAAGATGTGAGAGAGACCTGGTTATGCACATGAAAAGGCACACAGCCATGCACCACACAACACACGGCACACAGCCATGCTCCACACAGCGCAAGGCACACAGCCATGCGCCACACAGCACAAGGCACACAGCCATGCGCCACACGGCACAAGGCACACAGCCATGCGCCACACAGCACAAGGCAGACAGCCATGCGCCACACAGCACAAGGCAGAGTGCATGCACTTTATCAGAATGCAACCCCCAACCCAACACACAACAAAGCGAGCAGATAGCCTTTGCTGTTCTCAACCCTCAGCACAATCAGCACACATGCCATTCATATCTACAAAACCTACCCTCCCCTATGGTCAATGCTCACACCCACTCAAAAATCATCCCCGGTCACTACAATTATCCCACAGCATGACATGGCAGCAGCTAGAAAGTCCCTCTCCTCCAGCTTCAAAGCAGCAGCAGCCGCAGCAGCAAGCCGTATTACTCACCCTTTCCCTTCCGCCCATCCTTCCCCACCTTAGCCACCCACCCCCTCTAACCGTCGCCGCCAGGGCATTATCCAGCTGTTGTAACATCCCTCTTCCCACACCCCACCCCCCTCCTCTAGCACACGACCCACTATGGTTCCCTGCCCCACTAGCCATAGCAACGACCGGCAATGCCTGCTTGCTCCCCTAGCATCCGCACCCACGCCACCCGCCCCCACTCCACCACCCACACCCCTCCCCCATCCCCCCCCTCACCGCGGCGAGGGCGCCGTCCCGCTGCTGTATTGCCCTGGCCGCCTCCATGGTTAAGTAGTTAACTTTTGAGCCGTCTCAGAACTCACCGTAGCGAGGGCTTTGTCCAGCTGCTGAATCTCCCCCCTGTCCGCCTCCATGGTGAAGTAGTTCAGTTTTGAGACGTCTCAACACTCACCGTGGCAAGGCCGTCGTCCAGCTGCTGAATCTTCACCCTGGCCGCGTCCAGCTCGTCCCCCCGGTGGTCCAGCTTGCCGGTGAGCAGCATGAGCGCCTCACGGTGCACCTGCAACGACTGCTCGCACTCCTGCAGGGCCGCCTGCGTTGACGCCAACAGCTGCTGCTGCTCCAGTTGAGAAGGGTCGGCCGGGGGTTGCTGGCAGGAGGATGGGAAAAGGGGGAGAAATGGGAGAGGAGGGATTGAAGCGGGGAGGGGAAGAGGGGGCGTGGGGAGGGGGGAGCGCAGGGTTGGCTGCGGAGCTCGAGTTGGCTGCTTGTGAGGAAGCAGGAATGTATGAGCAGGCAGACTGAACAGGGGAGCAGGGGAGCAGGGGAGTAGGGGAGCAGGGGAGTAGGGGAACAGGGGCATACATGCTGAACTGAAGCAAGTTGCAACAACGATCAACTCAACACACCCCAAAAAGGGACTCTGAAAAGACTCCAAGAGTGCAAGACATGACAGGACCAGGTCAGCAGCCGAGCACAGCAAGGATTGTGGGAACCATTGCAGCGCGGGGGGATGCAGACTGCAGTCGGTGCAGAAAGAGAAAGCGTACCGAAGGCGAGTGCAGCGTTCTGGGGGTTTGCTCTGCGCTTTGAGGCATCTCAAAACTAGCCGGTACTTTAGGCGCCTCAAGAGTGGGGGGGTGCAGTGCAGCACAGACAGAGAGCGTACCGAAGGCGAGCGCAGCATGTTGGGGGACTGCGCGCTGGGCTCTAGGAACGTCACTGGCAGCTGCTTGCGCCCCAATCGTGCTGTCTCCGGACGAGCAAGCACCTGCGCCATGGGGAGACGGGAAGAGGTGGGAAGGGGGGAGGCGGGGGGGGCGGGAGGGACTGGATTATTGGATTTTTAGAAGCAGAAGAAAGCGGGGGAGGGGGTGGAGAGAAGAGTTGGGGGAGGCTGTAGATTGGTTTTGAGGAGCCCCAAATGCAGTGAGGAGAGAGGAGAGGAGAGGAGAGGGGATAGGCAAAGAAAAGGAGAACGGAGTCACAGGGAAGGGAGTGGATTGAGGATGCAGCAGGGGGAAGGAGTGGAGGGGGGAGTGGACAAGAGGGAGTGAGGACATGTGGTAGAGGAGAGGTGGGACATGTAACAGAAGTAGGAAATGGAAAGTCTAGGGGGGGAAGATTGGAAAGTGGAAATGGAAATAAGCATGTGTAAGTCCACAGCTGCAAAGGCCATGTATGGCCTATGAAGTCACCATGCGGTGTCCCATGCAGCAGTACCACGCAGTGCACCATGCAATGCATGCAATGTACCATGCATGTGAGGAGCTCACCTCGGCCACTGTGCCAGCATCATACACCTCCAGCTGAAATGAGTCGGTGGGGAACCAGAAGGGGCGCTTGGAGAACGCAGCACACGTGACTGGTGGCAAGGTGAAAGAAGGAGAGAAAGGTTGATCGTTAAGTTAGCCTTTTTCTCTTCCTTTCTGCTTCCATCTGCCTACCATTCTCATCCTCCCCCCCTCATCCTTCTTCCTCGCCCTCTTCACAAGATGTAGAACGGGCAAGCACAAGAGCAGCAGCAGCAGCAGCAGCGCGACGGCCGGGCCTCACCTTTGACCTCCTTGAAGGTATTGGATGGCAGCAGGAACGTGTCCCCATCCACGATGCCGTACGGCCTGTTGGCGGCGAACGAGAGCTGGAGAGGGGCGAGGGGGAGAACGAGGAAGGGAGGAGCGGAGAAAAGAGAGGGAGAGGGACGCACAAACTGAAGCCACTGATGATGGTCTGAGGCGCCTCACAGCAGACACGTGTTCCCAACGATCAATGACGCCGTACGGCCTGTTGATGCCAAACGAGAGCTGCAGTGCAGGGGGCGAGGGGGAGGGAGAAAAGGGGGGGGGCAGAGACAAGAGGGGGAGCGAGGTTCAAGTGCAGCCACTGGTGCTCTGAGGCGGCTCACAGCAGGAATGCGTCCTCATCCACAATGCCTATCGGCCTTCTGGCGGCGAATGAGAGCTACAGAGGGGCGAGGGGGAGGACGAGGAATGGGGGAGCGGAGAAGAGAGGAGGGGAGAGAGCCATGCGAAGCTGGGGGCTGTAATACAGGGCACGTGGTGCACTCACTCTGAGCACGCGCGGCCCATCAGCGAGGTTGGTGAAGCACAGCGATCCCTGTAGCTCCTTCCCCACCTCGACTGCACGGAACAAGGGCCAGTGGGGGTGGTCAGCAGGGGGGTCGGGGAAGGAGTTTGGGAGAGGGTCGAGGGGGAGAGGGGGGTTGAGGGGGGGGGGGGGGGAGGGGGGTTGAGGGGGGGGGGGGGGGAGGGGGAAGGGAAGTGGCTTGTAAGAGGTGACGGTGAAGGGGAAAGGGGGGGACTGTGTTGGAGAGGCGAATGGTGAGAAGTTCGAGAAATATATAAACGGGGATGGCGTGAAGAAACGGCCGGGCCAGGCACGACGCGAACACTGAGGATTACGGGGAACATTGAGAATCACGGGGAATAATTTAGGCTCGGGTGGAACTCTGTGGGAACGGCGGAGGAAGCGAACGGTAAGTGAGGCGGGAAATGTGAAAGCATCAGACCTGTGGTCACCGTGCTGGGTGGTTACAATTCATCCATGCGAAGCGAACGCGAATAAAGGGGTGCCTATGCGATGCGACGTATCATAGCGGGAGTTCATTTCGTTGTTCTTTTTCGTTTCTGGTATTTCCTTAGAGTCCGTTTCTTACATGGGAAGCGAACGCAGCCAGGCTCGACCCTAAGTTCGTCCATCCACGTCTGGCTCGACCCTTAGATCGTCCCTCGTCGTTTCACTGATAATATCGCGCCTAGCCAGAGGACGACACGGCAACTCGAGGCCCGTACAGGTCACCAGAACGGAAAACAGAGTCAGCTGAGAGCCCCCTGACGGTCTGATTAACGCCTTTAGAAGTGCGCGAGGCAATAGTAGTCGTGTCCGAGTTGACAGGTCAATTGATGCAAGCTTGCTGGTGGAAGAATGTTGGCTCTGCGCCAGAAGTAAGCTCACAATCACAATCACAGAATCTTGGCTATACGAAGGGCCTGATTGATCAGTCCACGCAGTCCGCACCACGGCAATCTCGAAGCTTCAGGGGAGGAGAGGAGGGCAATGGAGGCTGCGAGCATTGCTACGGTATGGACATCCCCACGAGCTGTCACACATAATGCAATCCAGACTGTATTGTGAGTTATTCCAATTCCCTCTGTTGTAAAATCGAGAGAAATCTATCTTTGTGAAACCCCATGGATATGATATGAATATACCACGTACTTTTAGCAGCATTCACATGAGATACCAAGGGAATTGTGTTTCAAGCATGATAAAAGGATCATTACTGTTTTATGTTAGAACGTGTTACTTACCGACCCTCTTCTAACTGTACCACGAGCACACAAATACACATCCTACAAGATACAATGCCGACATGCAGTTCTGAAAACCTATAACTCTTGTTAATAAAGTGCCAACGTCACTGTCTTGCAACTGCTATTAGGGACTACCTGTTAAAAGCCCATGTACACCACAAAGACATCAATCAGAAAGCAACCAAGCAAGGATGTGAATAGAACTCACTCAACTCAACCACCCCCCCATCCCTACCCCACTGCCTCTCAAGCTTATGCTAGTTGGAGCCACCAGTGGTGGGTCCAGTAGTGGATCTGTCAGACTCAGCAAAACAGCTGCAGGTGCATGAGGCTGCTCTAGGCATTTCTTGCTGGCTGCCCTTGAAAGCCACACCACACCACACCACACCACACCCTATCCAACTTTCGGAAATCCTGTTTTATTTTCCCACATACCACACACGCACACACTGCCCTCCCACCAACAAGCAGATTACCTCACTTGGGAGCAATCCCCCGCCTCTCAACGAAGTTCTTCACATCGTCTGGACTCTTGATGTTCTTGAGGTCCTTCAGCAGTTGCTTCCTGGGAGGACCACAGGCATCCAAAGATAGAAAGACGCAATGCGGGATGCACGCCAAAGCGTGAGACACATGGGTGTGCTGCGCATGCGCGCAGGGCATGTATCACGCGAACGAGTAAAACCAAGCGTGGTTGCACTGCACGTGCAAGTTAGTAAGAAGGAAAAGAACCAGGCAGCGGGAAAGGTGGTACTAAAAGAGAAGGCATTACCTCTGCTCTGCCCAGAGAAGGTCGTATCCTATAAAGGAGGTGACTGCAGTGAGCCCAATGGCCTCCATGGCTCCTTGAACTGAAGGCAAGCATGGCATGACAAGGGTTACAAGGAACAGTAGAAGAACAACCAGTGAGATGGGGCACAGAACGGGGAGCATGGGGGGGAAGGAAAGAGGCATGCAGGCTTTCATAACGAGCCACCACGTGAACGATGCCTGTGTACGGTGTGTGTGCTTGTGGTGCTGCTGCTGAAGCTAGTGCTGCAGCTGGTGCTGCTGGCAGCAGCACAGGTGTGTGAGAAAGCAAGTGCAATGGCATGCAAGCACACTCGTCCACGCAAGCATGCAATGACGCACTGCACACCAGCCGCTCAGCTGTGCGGTGCCTCCAAGTCAGCAGTGGGGTGCCTCATACCGTTCCGTGCAAGCATGCAGCGGTGCACACAGGTCAGCGAGCAGCGAGCAGCGAGCAACAGTCAACGGTGAACAAGCAACGAGCAGCGGGTGCACGTACATCCGCCTGTGACGGTGGCGACGGTGCCGAGCCCCACAGCGAGTGCGGGAATGGACGTCTTGATGAGCGCCTGGATGTTGCGCCAGTTGGCCTCCTCCTGCTCCGTTCATGGCATAGCACCCACGGCACAGAGATAGCACGGACGGGGATGGTGGCGTGGTGAGAATGAGCAGGAACAAGGAAAGCAGACGAAGTTTTTATTTGGGGGGGGGGGGAGGGGGGGTTGGGGGGGGGACTTCAGAACGAAGCAGAGGGGGTGGGAGGAAGAATATGTGTGTGCACATGGTTATGACCCGCTAATTATTGTCACAAGTCACACAGCTGCAGCAGCAGCAGCGGCAAGGCAACAGAGAGCGAGAAGCAACCCATTCCACTCACCTCTGAGAGCTCATCTGCGTTTGACGCATCAGCAGCAGCGACAGCATCAGCAGCAGCGACAGCATCAGCAGCAGCAGCCACTGGAGCAGCAGCAGGCGACGAGGCAGCCTGAGACTTGGGAGCAACAGCAGCAGCAGCTGTAGAAGGGGCAGCAGCAGGGGCAGTTACTTCAGCAGCCACGACAGGACTGCTCTTTTCTTCCTTATTTTTAAACAGGAAGCTCCAAATAGGCTTCTTCTTCTCAGCAGGCTTCTCCGCTGCTGCTGCAGCAGCAGGGGCAGGTTCTGATTTGGAGACAGAGGGAGGAGACTTAACCGCGCCATTGCCCCCTACAGCGGCTTTGGTGGTAGCAGCAGCAGGGGAGGAGGAGAGAACGGACGCCTGCAGCAACTTATTGGGAAGCTTCTCCGTTTCTGACACGTCGGAATACGGCCCGGTTGCTGCAGGGCTGGTGCTTTTAGTGGGCGCAGCAGCAGCAGCAGGAGGGGTGGGGAGAACAGACGCTTGAAGCATCTTGTTTGGCAGTTTCTCAGTTTCTGACGCGTCTGAGTACGGCCCGGTTGTTGCAGGGTTGGTGCTCTTAGCGGGAGCAGCAGGAGAAGTGCGCAGAACAGAGGCCTGCAGCATCTTGTTAGGCAGCTTCACATTTTCCGAGGCATCGGAATACGGCCCGGATGTGGCAGCAACGGTGCTCTTAGCAGGGGCAGCAGGGGAGGAGGGGAGAACCGACGCCTGCAGCATCTTGTTAGGCAGCTTCTCTGTTTCTGACGCATCGGAATACGGCCCGGATGCTGCAGCGACGGGGCTCTTAGCAGGGGCAGCAGGGGCAGCAGGGGGGGAGGGAAGAACGGACGCCTGCAGCATCTTGTTAGGCAGCTTCACATTTTCTGACGCGTCGGAATACGGCCCGGTTGAGGCAGCAACGGTGCTCCTAGCAGGGGCGGCAGGAGCGGAGGGCAGAACAGACGCCTGCATCATCTTGTTGGGCAGCTTCACGGTTTCCGAAGGGTCGGAATACGGCCCGGTTGATCCAGGAGCAGAAGAAGCCGTGGCAGCAGCAGCCGTGGCCGCAGCAGCGGTGGGAAGGACGGATGCCTGGAGCAGCTTGTTGGGAAGAGGTGTGGGGTCGGATATATCGGCATAAGGGCCTGAGGGAAGGGGCACGGGGAGGGGACGAGGAGGGGAGGGGGGGAGGGTTTGGGGAGAAGTTGTTGTTTGGGTGATCGGGCATTAGGTCCGAGTGATGTCGGGGTTCGAGCTCGGGAGGGAGGAAGTGGACTTGCGGTGGGAGCGAGGCGACAGGGGAGGCATGATTATGGAGAGCGAGCAAGCATGAGAGTGCGAAAAATGTGATGGGATGGGAAGGGGACGAAGAGGGAAGGGGAGAGGGAGAGAGAGGGTGCGTGGAGGGGTGTGGGGAGGGGGGGCTTTGGAGGGTGGTGGTGAGATCATGAAAGTTTAAAGAAGACCAGAACCAGCTCCTACTAGCCCAAAATTCCCTCTAGCGTTCATCCCTATGTTCTCTCCTCTCGATCTAGGCGCTTACAACTCCTTCCTTCTCACCTTTTGCCGCCACTGTCGTTTCCGCTGACACCGCCCCTGCTGCCACAGAAGGAATCGGGGTGAGCAATGACGAGATGATGCGAGAGTGGGAGAGACGGCGAGAGGGAGAGAGGGAAAAAGAGGGAGAGAGAGAGTAAGAGGGAGAAAGAGAGCGGAGGAGGAGGAGGAGGTGGAGGTGGAGGAGGAAAACGAAAGAGAAATAGAATTGAGTGAAATCAATAGAAGGAGCGAATGGAAGGGAAATAGGTTTCTGTTCTTTTCCGCAGTCAATTCTTTATCGTCTGTCTTCCGCTGTTTTCCATGCGACGAGGGGTTACCGTCAACCCAGACAAATTATCCTCTCCCCCTAAAGGTCTTCCCTTCCCCTTCATCCTCTGCCCTCACCCCCTTAACCCTCTGCCCCCCTGTCCGCCTGATCCCCGCTCCTGCTCCCGCTCCCGCTCCCGTTCCCGCTCCCGCTCCCGCTCCCGCTCCCGCTCCCGCTCCTGCTCCCATTCCCGCTCCTGCTCCCACCCTTCCCCTTTCCCTTTGCCTTGCTACCCGATCTTCCGTCCCCGGCTAACGCTAATCGTTCCCCTTCCCTTCCCGTCCCCAACCTACCCCATGCTTTCCCACAATATTCTCTCTTACCTTCCGCAGAAGCCGCCACCGCTGGCGCACTGTCCGCCTTGGCGGACTTCTTCCGCCCGACCGCCACCCCGCCCACCGCGATCAGCGCCAACCCGATCGCCCCCAGAAGCACTCCGCTCGGCACTCCGCCAATCCCCCCCGCCGCGCCCCCGCCGCCGGCCGCCGCACCCACCGACGTGAACAAAGCCTGCGCCTTTGTCTTCACAGCGCTAACGGCGGCGGCGGCGGCGGCCAGCCCCGCGGGTGACGACCCCTCGACGTTCTTAATTACTATGCGGTCTTGGAGGCCGGGGGGTGCGGCGCCTTTCCAGGCGAAGGAGGGCACGCGCAGGAGGTCGCCCTCGTAGATGGCGTCCCCGCTGTTGGCGATGAAATCGGTGTTCGCCTGGATAAAGTCCGCCGGCGTGCAGTTGAAGGCGCGCGCCAGCACGCGGAGAGAGTCGCCGCGCCCCACGCGCACGAAGACCTGGACGGACTGGCACGTGGGGGGAAAGGTGGGGCGAGAGGGGGAAAGGTTGGGGGAAGCGGGTGGGGGGAGGGGAGGAGAGGGAGCGGAGGGAGAAAGGAGAAGGCAGGATGTTTTTTATATTTCTCAAAAACACCCTGCAAAAACGAGAGGAAAGGGAATAGGAAGGAGTGGAGCAGGCAGGAGTGCGAGAGAGAGGAAAAGGGAGAGTGGGAGATCCTTCCATCGCCGTGCTTTCCATCCGTGGGCGGAGGGTGGAAGGAAATCAGTCGAGGAGATAGGAGAGGAGGAGAAGATGGGGAGAGAGAGAGAGAGAGAGAGAGAGAGAGAGAGAGAGAGAGAGAGAGGAGGAGGAGGAGGAGGAGGAGGAGGAGGACGGAGGAGGAGGTTAATGAAAACATCAATGCTTCAAGGCGGGAATGAAACGCATGTTATCTGTCCGCTTTGCTGTACTTTCATTAATGCTGTAATAGGATAAACGAGCATCATTATCCAGACCAAAACGCGTTATGTTTTCCGTGCCTCCAAACTCTACGTGTGAAACCAGATGAATAAATGAAAGCTGCTGGTACTGAACGAATAAAATAATTTTATCAATAAATAAAACACCAACGAGAACGGAAACGGGTATGGAGGCGTCTATTACCTGTCCGGCCTGCGCGCGGATACCGGGGAGCTGAGGCCCTTTGGCCAAACCGACGACCGGCGACGCGTTCGCTCCGTCGGCCTTCATGCCGAGGAAGCCGCTCCGCATGGGGGAGTTATACTGTGTGGTCCTCGCTGGCCGCGCGGCGCCACGTGTCGTGCCTGCTGCCGTGGCGCTGCTGCCGGCCGGCAGCGCGAGGTCTGAGAGGCACATGGAGGACGCCGCCATCGCAAAAAAAGTATCTCTCCTGTGTGGGTGTGTGAGTGCCTCCTTGGTCAGAGTGAGGGGAATGCGCAGAGAGAGAGAGTGTTAGCGCTCCGGTGCGTGTTTTGTCGGGCGGCGCTCTCGTGTGCTTCTGGTGCCTGGAAGCGACTACTGAGCCACTCTGTCCTTCGCTCAAGCTCCGAACCGAAGGCCTGCAAACCAGCCTCTAATCTGGAAGCCTTGGTGGATGGACAATGGACGAAAGCCACGATTCAGCATCAGCACCACCAGCTTGGGCTGGTACAAGCTGGCTGCCGCAGCGGGGCTACTTGCGCGGGCGCAAGGAATCAAGAGGGAAGGTCGCTGAAAGAGGCGGAAGAGAAGGCGGAGGTCTGACTGGAGAGTGGAGCGGGGGAACAGTTTCTAGCTTTCTTTCAGACCCGTCCCGACCTGCCCGTCCAGGGTGGTTTGTGGCTAAGGTAGCGTCCATAGAAATGACACGTCAGTTAAAGCCAGCATCTCAAAATCAGTTCATTTGAAGGCTGCCGCCCTTAATTTGAGATGCGGGTTTTAAGCTATGTCAAACCATAGCGCGCCCTGGTTTGGGAAAACCATTGTAGCTGCCGTGTCAAATTCAATCGAATGCACGAGAATAAGCGAAGAATCTTCATAGCCAACACGGTTTGGTTTCGCACACGACTGTTAGGCTGCGAAACTCGACCAGTGCCTATGCAGATATTCTGCTAGCCTTTCGTTGATTGGGCGAGAGCAGATCCTCAACTAGGTTGTAGCGACGATTTTGGTTGGTTGACGATGTCTGTACAATTTCATCAGCTTCTGGTTCCATGAGTTTGATTGGCTTTTAGGTTCTGGTGATTTGACACTCCACAAACAATCCTGTCGGGTGTCAAATCGGATCGCGTGACCCTGGTGAAATGACATGTCACTTCTACGGACGCGGCATAAATAAACAATATTGTCACTAACAGCGTACCGTAATTGACCTCGCACTTGTTTGCTTGCTGAGTTGTTGATGTATCCACTCAAAACAATCTGTAGTAGGGATAAATTAGTTCTCCAGGGCAACCACAACAGACGGGGAAAATATATAAACTTTTGCGCTTGTGGAAGCGCATTGGCGTTGGCGGAGCAATGGGGCGGGGACACCTCCCCTGGGACCACTTGATCGTCGAGTCGCAGGCGGCTTGGCCTTGTTTCCAGCACCCACTTCGGCTGAGGGCCTTGCGTTGAGTTGCGAAGCATCGACGGTTTTTGCGAAACGAGTTGTGGCATGTGAATGGCGGCGATGGAATATACGAAAAAGCAAACAGAAGTGTCCAGCCAATGGACGTGGTTGCGAGGGCGATTTCATTTCGCTGACGAACCTGAAGGGGCTGAACCTGACGAGGTTCGGAATGTGCTTCGGCACAAATTCGTTTTGATTGCCGTGATTTCGGCCATCTGGAATCGCACGGGATTCCGTGGCTGGCATTTGCTTTTCTGGCTGGTGGAAGCGTAGCGAAATCCCGCTTCAACCAATCACCAGGCCGCATGCCACAACCCCAAAAGTGGTTCGATAATTCCCGTCAAAGAAATACAGCCAGATAAGCAAGTATCCGCTCTATAAATGTTTCTCATCACATAGCTTTCCACACCTAAGCCTAAATATTCTCGCCTATGTGGGTATGGTTTCTTATCATTGCAGACGTGCACTTCATGGTTTTCAACAAAATAGGTTGACACAAATTGATGGAATAAAAATAATAATAAAACGCAGGGAGTCACAATTTTGCATTAATACACATAATAGGGGGCATTAAACCTATGAAGTGGCGACTAAACCAAAGGCTTCGGGTTAAGTTCATTGTGAAGATTTAGGTAGTGGTGCTGAGAGTACTTCGAGCCCCTCCATGTCGCATTTTCCCGCCAAAAACCTCCAATTCAAACACAGGCGTCACAACGTCAGCAGGACGCCACGAGGGTACTGTCAATCTGGTGCAGCACCCTTACCTTACCTCACATGGACACCGTACTAGATAGTTATGCCTTAGGCTACTTGTTTTATGTTCCGTCCCCACTAAGGCACGTGTCGTGGCTCGTGTCGCACAAGGTGAAACCCGCGCGTGTCAACTGGGAATGCTCCCCTGTGTTGCCTTTTGTTTCCGTATGCTTGGCAGAAGGCCGTTTCAAGCTGTTTTTGTCCACTGACTCTTCACATTTCAACTTTTGCGATCCTGATTTCCCGTTAAAACTTCTAAACCCTCGGTGGTAGGAACAGGGGGCTCTCGTAGCCGTTAGGTACTTCTCGCGTCATCTCCACTCCGTCTAATGAGTCACCATGCAGAGCCCCCAGGTACCAATGCCGACATGCGGGTTCTATCCTCCCGCTCGCCGGCCTCCAGGGTCAGACCCGCTCGTTCTCCCGCTCCCCTTGCCTCCGCTAGGGCAGCCAAAGCCGACTCCACGGATGCATCTGCTGCAGCATCTTCAGCCAATGGTACCGCAATCTCCGTCGATACAACCGCCGCCGTGTCCGGGCCCTCCGCTTCCGCTCCATCCGCTTCCGCGCCTTCCGCCTCCGCGCATTCCGCCTCCGTGGCAGCCCCTAAGGAGCTGCACATCGGCGGGTACCGCGTGCTGTTCCCCCACACGCCGTACCCCCCGCAGCTGCAGCTCATGGCCAAGATGATCTCCGCGCTCGACGCTTCGCTCTCCCCCTACCCCCGCCCCCACCCGTACCCCCACACCCACCCCCACCCGCCCGCGCACGCGCGTATAGGCAGCACGAACGCGCTGCTAGAGTCCCCCACGGGCACGGGGAAGACCCTCGCGCTTCTGTGCGCGGCGCTGGCGTGGCAGAAGCGCGCCAAGGAGGAGCCCGCGCGGCTCACGCAGGCGTACGCGGGGGTGGCGGGGGTTGGTGGTGGCGGCGGTAGTGATGGTGATCCGTTCACTACTGGGGGAGGGTTCATTGTCCCGGATCCTAACGGTGAGTGGAGGGGGAGGAGGAGAAGTGGCGGAGACGCGAGGAGGAGACGTGAGGAAGAGAAGTGAGGCGGAAAGCTCACATCTGTGTGTCGTGTACGTGTCACTGTGTGCTTCTTCATGTCACTATGTGAGACAGTCACCCTGCGCCGTGTCTTCTTCTCGTCTTCTTCACCCTGCCAAATCGCATCCCATTTGTCAAGCAGCGTTGTAGTAGCATCCATAGCTGCGTGAGCACCCCATTTGATCCGTCTCAGCTCGTCTAGCGGCCTAAACCCTGGTGTCGTGTCGTGGCCTTTCATCTCATGCTAGCTGCAGTGCGGACTGCAGTATCTCAGCCCATACCCATGCGAGTGCACCTCTGGTTGACTCCTTCTAATTAAACTGTTAGTCAGACAGCTGATGGGACAGGTGTTGAGTTGTTGTAAGGTTGAAGAAAAATCCACACTGCCCAAATCAGCGAGATTCTGGTCTGTCCGGCCCTCCCTTGGTTTTTCAGAGGCGTGTATGGGAGAGAGGGCAGAGGAGCAAGGGGAGGAGCAGGCAGAGCATGGCGACGAATGCGTGGAAGACTGCGCAAAGGAAGGGCAGGGTCAGTCGCAGTGCAAAGGGCAGCAGCAGCAGCCAGGGCAGAAGCAGGGGAAAACGGCCCAGAATGTGCCGGCAGCTCGCTTCCCTAGAATCTTCTATGCCTCGTAAGGCCTTGGTTCGGTTCCGAGGTAAGAATAGCTGCACTGAGCCCGCAGTGAGATGGTTCCTCTGGTCACTGGGAGGCGGGAGGGACGTGAGGCTGTGTTGACGCGAGGTTGCAAGGCCGACACAACTGAAGCAGACAGGAGGGATGGATGGATGGATGGATTGATGGATGGTCTCTAGTGATAGGCTGGCTCCAAGATAGGTAGGTTAGTTTGATTCGAACCAAGGCACAATGGGTGGCGCATGAGACGGCCTGATTTCGGTTGCAACACGATGGCTGGCTGGCATGGCAGCTCCAGAACGTTTCTTGTGTGAAAGAAAGCCCTGCCCTGCCCTGCCCTGCCCTGCCCGAATCCCATTCTTTCCCGTGGGTGGGTGGGTTGCCATGTTCCAAGGCATGCCAGTATCCATCCAGCACCCCCTTCCTCCCTTCTCTGCAGGCTCAGTCCAGGGCTAGTCCCCCCCAGCTGCTAGCGTATTGACTTTTGAGTCAACTCAAAGGTCTCCCCTTTCTTCCCATCTCTGCATGCTAAGTCCATCCAGGGCCATCTCCCAGCTAGCTTATCCCATCTCATGGCCCAGCCCACCGCCCTCCACTCTGCCCCTCACCCCCGTGCGCCACGGCAGGCGCACGCACAGCCAGATATCGCAGGTGGTGCGGGAGCTGCGCAAGTGCAGCTACTCGCCCTCCATGACTGTGCTTGTGCGTGCATGCAGGGGTTCCGGGGTTGGAGGCTGGGGCTCAAGGTTGAGGTTGGGTGGTTTGGGGTTCAGGGCTGGGGTTGGGTGGTTTGGGGTTCAGGGTTGGGGTTGGGGGTTTGGGGTTCAAGGTTGGGGTTGGGGGTTCAGGGCTGGGGTTTGGGTGGTTTCGGGGTTCAGGGCTGGGGTTTGGGTGGTTTCGGGGTTCAGGGCTGGGGTTGGGTGGTTTTGGGTTCAGGGCTGGGGTTGGGTGGTTGGGTGGTTGGGGTTCAGGGTTGGGGCTGGGTGGTTTGGGGTTCAGGGTTGGGGCAGGGGGTTCAGGGCTGGGTTTGGGGTTGGGCATACGGGATTCTTAGCGGGCAATTGGGAAATGGTATGGAGATAGGAGTGGAGGCTTGAAGCGGCATCTGGTCCCTGCCTTCATTTCCTTCTCCCCCTCCGTCCTTCTCCCCCTCCGTCCTTCTCCCCCTCCTTCCTTCTCCCCCTCCTTCCTTCTCCCCTTCCTTCCTTCTCCCCTCCGTCCTTCTCCCCCTCCGTCCTTCTCCCCCTCCGTCCTTCTCCCCCTCCTTCCTTCTCCCCTCCTTCCTTCTCCCCCTCCTTCCTTCTCCCCCTCCTTCCTTCTCCCCCTCCTTCCTTCTCCCCCTCCTTCCTTCTCCCCCTCCTTCCTTCTCCCCCTCCTTCCTTCTCCCCCTCCTTCCTTCTCCCCTCCTTCCTTCTCCCCTTCTTCCTTCTCCCCCTCCTTCCTTCTCCCCCTCCTTCCTTCTCCCCCTCTTTCCTTCTCCCACTCCTTCCTTCTCCCCCTCCTTCCTTCTCCCCCTCCATCCTTCCTCCCCTCCTTCCTTCTCCCCCTCCATCCTTCCTCCCCTCCTTCCTTCTTTCCCTTCTTGCATCTCCTTTCTATGGGTGACAGCGCTTGTGCCACAGCCGTTATTCTTGCCACTGCTGGTGTAGGTTTGCTGTAGCCCTGGTGACTCTTGAGACGACTCTAAAGTCTATGGGTGACTGACAGCACATGTGTCACAGCATTGTGCTTTGCCACTGTGCTGGTCTATGCTTGCTGTACTGTACCATAGGCCGCCTCCTCTCCTCCATTCTCCCCACCCTCACCCACCCACCCCCCTCACGCTCCACCTTCCCCCTTACCTTTCCTCTCCTTTCCACTCACGGGACCGCCGGTCCACTCACGGGACTGCCGGTCCACTAACCGGACCGCCGGTCCACTCACCGGACCGGCGGTCCACTCACGGGACCGCCGGCCCACTCACCAGAGTGCTGGTCCACTCACAGGACCGCCGGTCCAGTCACCGGTCCGCTGGTCTACTCATGGGACCGCCGGTCCACTCACCGGACCGCCGGTCCACTCACCGGACCGCCGGTCCACTCACCGGACCGCCGGTCCACTCACCGGTCCGCCGGTCCACTCATGGGACCGCCGGTCCACTCACCGGACCACCGGTCCACTCACCGGACCGCCGGTCCACTCACCAGACCACCGGTCCACTCACCGGACCGCTGGTCCTCCCCCCCCATGCACACCCCCGCATGCACCCCCTCCCCATGCATCCCCCCCCATGCACCCCCCTCCCCCATATGCATCCCCCCCGATGCATCCCCCCCTATGCATCCCCCCCCATGGTTCCCCCCCTATGCAACCTCCCCTATGCTTCCCTGCCAACCCTCGTGCCACTATCAGCCTCCATAATCTGCACATTCGTACTCACCATGCTGGCCCTGCTGTCGCTGCTGCCCCTATAACTGCTTTCCCAGGCATCGCGCAAGCACTACTGCTGCAACAACACTGCTCTCAAGAAACCGTCTGTTGACGAGGCGTGGTGGGTTCTCCTCTCAACAACACCCTCCCACTCCAACTGGCCTCCCCACAGCTTTTTCCTACTCCAACCGGCCTCTCAACAACAACACCCTCCCACTCCGACCGGCCTCTCACCAACTCTCCCATTCCACCAACCCAACCAATGGGCCATCCAGCCAGCTCTCTTTCTGCCATGCTTCTAACCTGTGCTTCCTGAAACCGTACTTCCTCCTTACATGTGCATAGGCTCACATTCACACTCTGGTGCAATGAGGCTCTACTTTCCTCCCTCTCCACCCGTTCTCTCAATCGAGCCACCTTGCCTTGCTTTGCCCGCCTCCCCTCTCTTTAAGCCTCAGCTTCTCCCGTTCTCGCATGGTGACCCTCTCTTTCCGCATCGCATTGCCTGCATCCATGCATCATCTGCGTCCCGTCCCAACACACCAGCAAGTCGCTCCTATCCCCGAGTCTCGCGCAAGGCACTGACGAGTCGCAGCAAGTCGCAGGCACTGGCTGCATCTTCTTCCGGTAAACCCTCTCTTTCTTCGGCCGATCCCTTGTTCTTATGGAGACTGGCATGGTTCTTTATGCCCTTGCTGTTTCCCTCCCTCTTCATCTCTCCGTTTCTCCACTTTGTCCTCGTCCTTGTCCTCTTCCCCTTCCACTATGCTGCGTTCCCATCTCCTCTCCTCTCCTCTCCTCTCCTCTCCTCTCCTCTCCTCTCCTCTCCTCTCCTCTCCTCTCCTTTCCTCTACTTTCCATGGGCATGTGCAGTGCTGTGTCTGCATCTGTCTCACCACTACCAATCTCCACACCCCTCATCTCATCTCCTCTCCTCGTCCCCATCCGTCCCCACCTCCACCCACCTCACATCCCAACACCAAACCAACAGCATCTACACCTCTCCTCTTCTCATCCCCATTCCTCCCCATACCACAACACCCAGCAAGCCTCGCTGCAGCCCAAAAGCCCCCCTCGCAATTCACGATGTTCCTTTTTCTTTTTCACTAGACACACTTCGTCAACCCACTGACCCAGTATCCTCCCCCCCCCCCCCCGCCCCCCGATTCCCAGGAACTACTCGGATCTGATGCGCCATGCATCGCTGCAGCCCGGGGGCCCCCTGGCAGTGCACGATGTGGAGGACCTCGTGAAGCTTGGCAGGCAGACCAAAGGTGCGCGCCCCTGTGCTGGCAAGGGTACCCCACCTGCTGCTGCTTCGCTGCTGCTCGCCGCTGCGATTTGGAGGTGCCTCAGTCTTGGCTCCTGCTGTTGGTGCCGCCGCTGCCTTTCTTTCCAGGTAAGCTGGCTGTTTGCTCCCCTCCCCCTCTCCCTACCTCCCTCCCTCCCTCCCACCCTCCCTCCCTCCCTCCCACCCTCCCTCCCTCCCTCCCTCCCTCCCTCCCTCCCTCCCTCCCTCCTCCCTCCCTCCCTCCCTCCCTCCCTCCCTCCCTCCCTCCCTCCCTCCCTCCCTCCCTCCCTCCCTCCCTCCCTTCCTCCCTCACTCTCCTTCCTCTCCCCCGACTTCCCCCCTTCTCTCCAGGCTGCCCGTACTTTGCAGCACGGGCAGCACTGGAGGAGGTGGATGTGGTGATGTGTCCGTACAACTACGTGCTCTCGCCAGTGGTGCGCCGCAGCATGGACATACGCCTGGACGGCAGCATCCTCATCTTCGACGAAGCACAGTTGAGTCTCGGAGTGTGTGGAGGGTGAAGAGGGGGGGCGGGTGGGCTGGTCCTTGTTCACTGCAGGTACGGCCCTCGTGCATCGTTCTCGTGCAACAATGTGCTTCCCACTTCGTCTGCTTCC